GTAAAATAGAACCACCTGTTTTGTTCCAGTGCCTCAGGGATGACTTCACTGGTTGTTGCAGTGACACAAATGAGCATTTGCTTTCCCACGAAACATCGCAGGGCTGGGTCCTGGGAAATTGTCATGCTGATTTAAGAAAGTCTTATGGTTATTACATTTTTTTTTTTTTGTCTGTCGAGCACTATATGTAATACAGTGTCAATAATATAAAATTGTGCTGCACTGATGTACAGTAGCCTAAATATGTATGTATTCTGTCTCATTTTTGGAAGAAATATAGATATTTCAGACAGTTGTAAAATGAAATTGCTTTGTGCCTGCAGACTCAGGATTTTTCACAATCTTTGCAACTTCACAGTTCAGGCCATGTTTTCCAAGTTACTCATTTTGGTTTTCATTGATATGAAAGTAAAGACCACCAACCCTGGTAATCCGTGCACTGGGATCAGCGTGGGGGGTGAGGGGGGAGGGGGGGGGGGCATCTGGCCCGCTTGGGAGAGTCTGCTTGGTAACTCACCATGGTGGCCTGAGGATTAAGGAGGAATTCGCTTGTCTTTCAGGAGCCGCAAGCCCCGTTCTCTGGCTGCTACTTTGAAGGTGCAGTCTCTCCCTGTAGGGTTGGAGGTGCTGAGATCTGCCCTGGACCGCGGTGGTTGACAAATAGACACGGGCGCGATGCCACACCTGTTGCTGAGTTGCTGCTTAGCAACCTGGACCTGGGCCAGGAAATTCATGAGACACTTCGTGCGACTGTAGCATTACATCCGAATTTTGTCATTTGTACACATTGGAGAGTAACGTTTGACTCAATTTACCTCTCAGTAGGTTGACTGTTGGTTTTGTATGTCATTGATGGTGCCTTATTATAGGAAATTCAAATACCAATTATACTTGGTAAAGCTTTATATTAACTGTGCCTTCATAATGCATTCATTACGCATTCATAGAACATTCATAACAGCTTTAATATACATTAGCAAACATGATAATCATTCTCATTATATAGTAATAACAAACATTCTCTGGCGTTTGGGTCATGACATACTGTTAGTTCTAGCTGATATCAGTAAGAATCATCTGCATAATTTGATCTTTTTGTATGAAGAACCTAAGGGACACTGAGGATTACAAAATGGAAGCGGTTTGGAGGATCTTCTCTTTTATGTAAATATGCTAATGTAAGAATAACAAGCTCAGCACACTGACAGACAGAACATAACTAGGAATATATTTCAGATTTTTAAGCCCATACAGAAAATCCTGATGATTTGCGTAAATTTGTGTATAGATATCAGAATCACATTGGTTGTTGAGGAGAGCATTTGATGAGCGAATTTCCAAAACTCCATTCAAGTCCATTTTTTTTGTTGTGTTTTAGATGAGACCACCAATGGGCTTCCTGATTGAATATTATAGTTTTGGGAACCAAAACTTGCTCAGTCTTCACGTAATCCAGCTCTTGTTAAATTTCCAAAACTCCACAGAAATCCTCTGTTTTGGAAATGTGCTCCTCATTTACGGAAAAGTGTAGCTTTTCAAACCACAATCGGTTTCCCGTCATTAATTGTTTGTTCTTTCTGGGTAAGCAGTATGATGCTGTCAAAACACGCAAACAACTTGCCCTGAACAGCATATGTGTACATGAAGATCTTACTACCAACCCGGTATCAAGGGAATCTCTTAGGCAAAATCATTTTCACTGGTAAACAATACTACTATAAATATTGATACTAAGATTTCCTATTTTGCGAGCTTTCTACTCTGCATTACGTTATGTAATAGCTATTGGGAAATTGAAGTGCTTCTGGGGTTAATCTTCATCTTTCTACAGAAGCTGTTTTATAAGACATTTTTCTTCGAATTGTGTGTCTGATCCCAACTTTTGTTGATGCGGGAAGTATGTCTCAGATAGCATCCACTCTTTGCACATGATTTCTTGGGCATAATGTTAATCTCCCCTCTTTTTACAGTATGAGGTGTGAATACACGCCTGTTATTAGTTTAACGAAACGCCAATGCAGCACACGCTGAGTCAGGCTCATGGGCTGTTTGGTGCAGACAAGTCGGGTGTGATGACTGACGGTTTCCGACGGAGGCCGGGTACTTCCTGCCCCCGGGGTGTAACCGGGACACTGGGGCCGTGTAACTGTGATGCATTGGGCCGTCACCGAATGTGAGATGGGGGGGGGGCTCGGTAGTGATGTATTAACGCTTCCTGCGTTCGCTGTACCTCTCTCCCCTGGGGCTCCTACCACAATAGCTGCAGTGTGACTGGAATGGTCACATGACATTTAACAGGAAGTGAGGTATATTGTACATGACAGCCTCTAAAGGGTTTGACTTTTCTCCAGGAAGCAGGGCATTTTAAAAGAGGTTTCTTGTCAGACATGGATGTATATTTAAAATATTAAATTCATTAAAAATATTACATTTTTTCAATGGGTAAATGAATTCACATAGATTCATTAATTGGTCATTGAAAGAGCCAAGTTGCTCTCACCTACAGAGAGCAAGTTGTGCGGAGGCGTTAGGAATTTCCCCACAGGGATCAATAAAGTATCAATTAAATTATAAAGTTATATCTCTTTAACTCTTTTTTTTTATTAAGCAATAAACAATTCTTAAGCCATCCATGGGTATACCTTTCCTAAATAACAACGTAACCATGTCAGTGTACTTCTGTAAGTACTAGTCAAAGAGATATAATGGAAAAAATAATGATTTTTACAAAAGTCAAATGTTACTCTGTTCTCCCTCTACTTGTTGGGAAATAATACAATAATATTCTCCAGAATTCTGCAACATAATTTGAGTTTTTCTATTTATCTGACTTCAGTCCTAGAGAAGTTGGCGAAATGTAAATAAGTGAAGTGCCCAGTTACATGATACTGTAGGTTTATTGTGGGTTATTTATAAATAGGGGTTCCCAGCTTTCTGAGTACTGGTCTTGGACTGGGACAGGGGTTGGGAACCCCTAATTTATGGGGTATGTCTCGACTTTTTCTCGTCACTCTCCTTGCCGATTGACTTTGAGGTGTTAGTCATGGTGTAAAGTCTTAAGTGTGTTTGCCCTCAAAGCCACACGTTGTTTTGCTTTAGGCAGATACAAAGCTAAGGTGATTCAGGCCACCAGGAACAGTTATAGGTCATTATATTAATTGGTGGAAAACCTACAGTCAGTTTTGTAGATCACTGGGGGATTGCTGTTCCCGAACCCTCGGTAGAAGGTCGTTCTCCTGCATAGCATTAGCCGCTGAGTCTGTGGGAGGTGAGGGCCGGTCTCATTTTCGATGGGG